GGGGGGGGGCTTGCCTCTGACTGGCGACTGGAGCCTTTTCCATAAGCCTATTTCTTAACCTATCACAAAATTGATGGGTTTTTGTTTTGTTTTGTTTTGTTTCTGAAACTTATAATTTCCAAAACTGAAATTTTAAGCTGTTAGGAGTGCAGGTGGCCTGTGACTATCGGGATTCAGTTCATTGTTCTGTCCTGTGACTTGTGCTGCCTAGCTCTCTGCACCTGGCTGCCTGCCTGTCTGTGTGGGCTGGGCCGGACTCAGGGACCGGCTCAGGTGTGGGCCTCACTTAGAGAGCATAGGCCAGGATGGAGTGGAGGCCAGCTGGGGCTGGAGCACCTTCACCTGAGCTTCCTTCCTCTGCTTTCTGCTGCCTCTGCCCCAGGAGTCTCCAGCCTGACAATTCTGCATAATACCAATTTCTAGGATGTTCTTGAGCCCAGTGTTTTACAGATTATGGGTTTTGAACCATTATTAGATGATGAAACCAATTTTATGTCACACCCACATGAAAACACAGACTGTACCTGTGCCTTCCCTCTAGCGAGGGCAGTGTTCCGCTGTCTGTCCCTAGCCATGTGAATGAATGCCTCAGGACTTCTGATCATGAAGTGATACATGTCACAGTTGAATACATCTGCAGCTCCCATGGCATTCTCTCATCACACCACAATTTCTGAAAAGAAAGGATACTTCAGTCACTAGCCCAGTGGCTTTGTGCCCTAGAGAAAGTCAACAGCAGAGCAAGGTGGGGTCATGGTTGGAGGAGGAGTTGCTGCAGAGTAATGGCATTCGTTGAGTTATCACAGGGGCTCCTCACCTCAGCTCACACAGGCCTTCTGGTCCCCAGGTTTAGATATGGTTCCCTAGTCTGTCCCTCACCCTCAGAACATGAGCGTTCAGTGGAGCTAGGCATGAGCCTGCCCTGCTCATCTGTGCCTATGGATCTAGCATGATGCCAGCATGTGACCAGTGCCTCAAAGACACTGAGGCAAGACTTGAGGTGTCCTACAATTTCATGGCCTGATATACTACATAAAACCCTCTCCATGACCACGTCACCCCCAGAGAGGGCACAGGAGTCTGGACTATAGGGAAGATGCCAGCAAGAAGGAGTTGAAGCAAGACTAATAAATGTGAGAGGGATGAGGGTAGACAGGCTATTCTAGTGACCGTCTCTCCAGGAAAAGACCTGTATATGAGGAATGGCTGGGTCCTGTCTGTCATGGGGGTGTCTTTGAAAGTCACACTCTTCACTTCTCCCTAAGGCCAAGCATTCTGACAGAGCGGACCCTAAGGAGGCCTCACAGGAGGCTCTAGGAATACCCTTTCTTATGATATGGTATTTTCTACACTGTAGAAATATGTCCCTCTCCTAGTGGCCAGTGATTCTGCTGACAGTAGTGGGATTCAGAGGGAGGCATGTTTAGGTATATTAGATGCACGGGGAGTTGTAGGAATGACTAATGAATACTATTAGCCCAGTGGTATTTAGCAGCGTAGGACCCTTTTCACAAGGAGAAAAGAGTCCTAATGGTAATTTAGTCAGTCCAGAGAACGTGTGGCAGAGCTGAGCATGGTGGTAGGAGGATCAGGAGGTAAGGTCATCTTTAGCTGCCTAGTGAATTTGAGGACAGTCTGGGCTGCATGCGATACTGTCTTAAAAACCAACCAACCAGCTGGGCAGTGGTGGCGCATGCCTTTAATCCCAGCACTCGGGAGGCAGAGGCAGTTGGATCTCTGTGAGTTTGAGACCAGCCTGATCTACAAGAGCTAGTTCCGGGACAGCCTCCAAAGCCACAGAGAAACCCTGTCTCGAAAAACAAAAAACAAACAAAAACAAAAAACAAAACAAAACAAAACAAAAAAACCCAACCAACCAAAAGAACAGACAGCATCCTGGGTGGTGTGACTCTAGTACCCACCTTTCCTCCTGCCATCTGCACCTTAGCCATTGGCCTTCTCCTGGAGGATCAGTCTGGAGGTGGGCTGGAGTGCCTAGACTGTCACCTCTGCTGCTGCTGGCACCCTTAGTACCATGTCCAGGAGACTTTGCTCTGGGTGTTGATTTTGGACCCTAACAGTCCAAACATTTATTATTGTGGTGCCTGGTGGCACAGTGGAGTACTTTATTAATGTACATATCCTGTCTCTTTCTCCTGCCTGGGATGCTCTGAGGACATGATGGAGGTCCCCGGGAAGGTGGACAACAGAGAACGTCCCCTTCACAGAAAGAGAAATGGTGCCGGAGTTGCTAGTGATGTCTGGCAAGCTTTGGGTGGAGCCTGAGTGCCAGGACTTTCAAACTGCAGACTCAGCTTCCCATATGACAATGCTCGGGATGTTTTCAGATACTTTTTAAGATTCAAATTGTCATCCTGTGAACAAGCCAAGACCACTCTTTCTTGATTTAACACTCACTGCTGTCTCTGGCAACACTCTGGTCTCGTGTCCACTTGTCCCACACCCTCTGCTCTGCTTTTTCCAGGGAAAGTCCGGTGGCCAGACTTTAACCAGGAGGCATATGTTGGTGGGACAATGGTTCGCTCCGGGCAGGACCCCTACGCACGCAACAAGTTCAACCAAGTGGAGAGTGACAAGCTGCGCATGGATAGAGGCATCCCTGACACCCGGCATGACCAGTAAGTCCCTCCAGGCATGCTGGAAAAGAGCTGGAGGATCAGTGCCTTGTGCCACTGGATTTCCTCACCCAGGTGGTGTTGCTGAAACAAGGAAAGATGCTAAAGAGAGGCTCATGCCTCTTGGCAGTTGGCAGAGACAACAGGCTATTAGCCATCAGAGGAATCAGAAGGAGAAAGTTGTATGGGCCTTGTATTTGCTGATTATTTAGTATTTTGAAGCTGCATTCATAAACACCATTCACAATCTTGGAAGGAAGGAAATCTAAACTTCCAGTTACTGGGCCAGCTCTAGTGGGGAAACATTTTGGAAATCAGAGAGGAGCTTGACTTTTCAGCAGAGTTGGGGAGAACCAGGAGGCAGGCAGGTGGTAGCACGTCACTCCTGGCACTAATGGAGAAGGGCTGTCATACACTCTTGTATTATTCAGCACTTGGGTAGCAGATAGGTTGAATCTGCCAAGCTCAGCCCAAGGCATCCCCAGACACTGAAGACAAGTCAGCTGCCGCTAATAAGGAAAGTGCTATTCACAGCCTTGGGCCTCTCCCCCATGCCCTGAAGTTTATTGTAAGGCCCTTGACAGAGCACTGTTCACTCTGGCAGCTTGTGGTGGGCTGGTTGGGTCACTCAGAAGTGAGGAGCCACTTCTCATACCTCTAAACCCTGAGGGCAGATGTTGTCCTGAGTAGGTGGATCTCTCTGTGAATGAAATTGCCTCCAAAGCACTGATTTCTTGGGGAGTAGAGCATACAGTGGGTCTCACATCTGCCAGTGGTCAGACTGGGTACCCGGATCCCATCCAGCTGCATGTTCAGAAGCACTGCCTGGGGATTCACCATCTGCCTGGGAGCCATATCTCTGCTTCTACATGCCAGGCACAGGTGTCAGGACAGGGGTCTGGGACACCCAGGAAAAGGAGCCTGTCAGGTGGTACCCTACTCATTCTGGGCTGGTCTTCCACCTGGTTGCTATCCAGATGCCAGTCATCTCTGGACAGTCACAGACACACCACAGATGTGCTTTGTTGAGTTCATATCTCCCGTAACAATTCAGAAACTGAAGGGGAAAGCAAAGCAGGGAGGCAGGCAGCAGCGCACACAGACCCAGAGGACTGGCAGACAGCTTTGTGCCCTGACGGGGCCGATTTCCCCTTCTGCCTCATTCTTAGGAGCAGGTGGTGGGTACTGCTAGTGTTCAGCCCTTTCCTTATTAGCCATCTTTGGGTAGTGGTCAGCACTGTTATTCCACAGTTTTATATAGAAAACACAGCTTTCTTGTCCTTTGGGACCAAGGAAGAGCCAATGGATTACTTACTATGTGACCCATGTAACCACACTGAGACAGATTCGTGGTGCCAACCTTCCTCCTTCTCCAGCCACACCAGATGCGTGCTTTCATTTCTTTCTTTTCTTCCTCTTTTAAAGGCAGTTTTGTTCAGCTTTTTTGTTGTACTTCTGGTCATAGCCATCCTGTTTCTAAAACAAGACTGTGAAAGCCTTGAGCCCAAAGTCCTGTACAGGGTCAAAGGTGTATGCATGTCTGGGGACAGCCCCTTGCCATCTACAGATGGTCCAGAGTGTATCCCACTGCCTTTCTCCCGGCTAATAGCATGTGATATCTAGATGCCCTTCAGGGACCCACTTGACGATCCTCAGATGACAGAATGGGGCATGCAACATTTTCTTCATATCCCAGAGAAGAAACAGAGGCAGTGGACTGGGAACTGCTGCCGTAAAGATGGAAGACTCAGTGATTATCAACACCACAGGATTGTACTCACCTAGGAGACAAGGCTCTGGCCATATTTTCAAGGGAATATCTAGATTAGGTCAATAGAGGGGGGTCTCACCTCAGTTGTGGGCAGCAGCATCCCATGAGCTGAGATCCCAGACTCAATAAAGAGAGAAAGCAAGGTGAGCACCAGCATTTATCTTTCTTTGCTGCCTGGCAATGTCCTGTGACCAGCAGATGTCATGTGACCAGCAGCCGTCATGTTAAGCCACGATAAATTGCACTGTGAGCCAGAATAAACCCTTCTTTCCTTATGCTGTCAGATATTTGGTCACAGAAGTGACAAAAGTAACTAATACAGGGTTTAGCCTCTGGGAATAGAGCCCAGCAGAGTCAGAGTAAAAATGTCACCTGTCCACTTGAGCTGATGGAACTTTAATCTCCATGTGATTGTTGAGCTTTGTGTCACCAGCTGTTGCCGAGCTGGTTCTCCCACCAAGATTTCACTGTGGCACTCTCTTCTTTGAGCAGGAAAAGGTATGAATGGGGGATTTCAATATGGGGCTGGGCTTCTTGGCTGCTGCCTCCATTGTGAGCTTCTCAAATTCCCTCAAACTCTACAGAAATACTATTTTTCAATATTTTCGGAATGATTCTTTGTCCAAACTGATCTTTGATTACCTCTCCCAGGATGGGTTGATTTCTGCCTAGCCTGTATTGGCCTCCTTTGCCTGTGTTACAGTAGCCGCTGGGAGCCTTTCCTGTTGGGTAGATTGGGATAAATTAAATCCTGCACAAACCCTGACAGGCTCCTGGAAGAGAAAGTTGACCACTCTCCTTATATTGGCCCCAGAAATCCATCTCATGGCATCAAAATATCAGACTTAGTGGCTTTTTAAAAAAAAAAAAACCCCCCCCCCCCCCCCCCCGGCCAAAGTTTCTCAGAGAGCAGTGAGAACACGACCCTTTCATGTGAGTGTCTGGCTTCTAACTCTGTAGTATCCTTCTGTGTGGGCTGAAGACCTCACAGAGCAGAAACCATTCTCCTGTGGCCATGGAGCTGCAAGAGGAACAGGTGAAAGCAGATTCCAAATGTGGTGCCTAGGACCCTATGGGTCTGGAATGATGCCCTGGGTCCTTTCCATGCTTCCATCTGTGACTTCTGTTCCCTCCAAAGCAACAATGACTGGTTCTTTAGTGTGCTTTTTGTCTCACAGGACCCCATCAGAAGTCTCCATTGCCTCTGGCCATGGGTACTTGCGGATGAATTGGCATGTTGAAGTCCTAAGTCTCTAATGTGTCTGTATTTGGAAATAGGTTCTTTACTAAATATGGTTAAGATTAAATAAAGTTGTAAGAATGGGGCCCAGATCCAGCGGGACACGTATCCCAGCAAGAGGATAGAGGGGAGGAATGAGGTGGGGAAGGGAGAGGGAGATTAAGAGAGAATAAGAGTGAGATCTTCCCCTTGGCCATATGAGGACATGATGGGAAGGTGGCCATCTGCCAGCCCTTGATCATGGGAAGATCCACATGAGGTAAACCTCAGCAGAATAGAAGCAGACAGCAGAGAAGGCCACCTCCATGGGCAGCCGTGGGTGGAAGTGGCCTAGCAGGTCCTAAATGACTCAGAGCACCTTGTCTATGCATCCCTGAGCCTTCCTCTTATCCCTCAGCAATGGGGTATGAGCCAGGCAGGTCTCTTAGCTTATGGGGCCATTAGATGTGCCTCTCTGAGGACAGTATGTGGCTTCCATGCAGAACTCAAAGTTTTGGGTGTCTCCTCTCTGCCAGGAGCTCAAGATCGTTTACTTTAAAATCTTTTCTGTTGGGAAACCAACAAGCCTTCATGGAAACACACTGTCAGGAATTCTTTTCCCTGCTTGCCAAGTACTGCCCTTTGGTTTGTTTCATTAAATCCCATGAAAAACGATGTTTGTTTGCTGAAAGCAGATTCCCCCAGCTTTCCTGTGCTAAGTCAGTTTCACAGTTGCTCCTGTTCCTTCTTATCTTGAATTTCAAATGTTGGGACTTTGAAATGTGCTTGTATCTCACACTAAAAGATGGTCCTAAGATTAGGGTGTCCTGCTGAGTCCCCCAGAGGTGCATTTGATGAGGGGCTGCCCAAATTACAAACCTAGCTGTTTGTCCAGCAGGCTTTCAATCTAGAATGTCTGTCTCTGCCCAATTTGCACAGTGTGGTTGCTCAGCTCTGGTGTTTTGAGAACTCTTGACTTAAAACGACCACCTTCCAGGTATGCCTGAAACAAAGAAGTCACACTTGCAGCCCTCGGGCATGTCACACTCTTGGGGATGTCACTGGCTTCCAGTAGGACATTGCAGGTTAGTTGGGTGTATGGCATGCTAGGTATGCTTGCTGTCTCTGGATCACCAGCATTGGCCATGTTCTGAGAGGGCCTGGCCAGGATTGGAAGTGTGGGGTAGTCATACTCCTGACAGTGTTACTCTGGAGAGTAAACACTGCTAATGCCAAGAGAAGGCTGTCTCAGGAGCCTGCCAGCTCAGAGGGAGGCCTTGGCAAGATGATCTTTATGGAACCTGTGATTTTCCACTGTGAGGCATAAGACTTGGTTGAGAGCAGTCCAGTTCCTAGTGTAGCTGAGGGACCAGAACACCCTAAGCTTGGTATTGCAATATCTTACTTGTACTGCTGGGCTAACATCTTTTAGTTGGAGGGGCGCTATCTTTCTGGTGGGGAACCACCTGTGTGCTCCCTCTTCATGTCATTAGGCAGCCAGCCTTGCAGGTTGCCATAGCCGGTGAGGTAGAGTTTAGATGAAGCACAGGGCAAGACTTTCACAGTTTGCATTCAGTCTCGTGTACATTAGTTTTCTTAGTCCGAGTACACTGGCCTGAGGTAGATAGCTAGGTCTGTCTGGGGACTTCCTAATCTAAGTTCCCCCAAAGCCTTGGAATCAGAGCTCACCTGGGCAGCAAACTAGAAATAGACCTTGGTGGGCAAGCCAGGTGGCTTTCCCATCTCTCTCCCTCTGTGCAGTGGTTTGGATTAGGCTTGTGTGTTAAAAAGGCTTGGTCCCCAATGCAGCCAGGTGGAGACATGGGGAAAGTGACTGGATCATGAAGACTCTGACTTCGTCCAGGTATTAACTGTGGGATGGCTTCACAGTTTGTTGGGCTGTTGGGAGGGGATAGAAACTGACTAGGTGAGACTTAGTTGAAGAAAGTGAGGCCCTGGAGATTCAGTATTGAATCAGCTCCACTTCCCCTCCTTTCCCCATGCATCCTGACA